GAAAAAAGAAAGCTCTTTCTCTCTGCCTATAATATCTATGAGAAAGGTAGCAAGAATAAGAAAGGAATTAAATATAAGAAATGGGAGGAACTCCTTATATAGATAAAATTACGTATAGCTGTACTGTATATCTATAAACATAACATTTTAACTTTAAAATAGTTATGTGTGTTTGGCATAGAAATACATGTATATTGTATAGTGTGTATATATGAAAACGCTACGTCTTATATAAGCCTGTTTTCTTGTTCCCATTAGTTGTTTATAAACAGGTAATAAAAGCTGAACAGCGCCTCAATCAAGATTTTTTCTCCTGCATCCCTGAAGGATGTAGTTAATCACTAGAAACATACATACGTTTAGTCAATCTATGAATGATGTGTACATGCTCACACTTAACATATATACTTCTGCTGTCTCTCTGCTTGCTTCTCCAGGGGAAAAGGAATCAGAAAGCTTCACTGGACAGATTTTTGCAGAATGACCAAATCGGTATAAATATATATTTTTCTCATTATGTTTACATGTATGCATATGTGCACGCACACACAGATGAGAATGTTTTCTATATGCTTCTGAAAACATTCTCATCTCTCTCTGTGTGTATGCATATATGTGTGTACTTATTGATGCAGCATGTGTGTGTGTGTGTGTATATATAAACAGAAAACATTCTCACTACCTGTATTTATCTGTATATATGCATGTGTACTGTGCATATATGTGTGTGTACAGTATATATACTTGCCCAGCAGGCCGAGGCAAAGAGGAAGTCACAAAAGCAGCAAAACGAGGGAGCTGGACAGGGGACAGATTGGATTTGTCTTCAGTGTGGAAGGGATTGTCACTCTTGAATTGGCCTCTTCAGCCACACTAGACGCTGCTCAAAGTCCTCCATACAGAGCACGCCACCATAGTCTTTCGAGACTGAAGGATGCCTACCTACACACATATATACTATGCATGTATGTGTACATTGTATGTATGTATGTATGTATGTATGTATGTATGTATGTATGTATGTATGTATGTATGTATGTATGTATATATGTATGCATGGATGGATGGATGGATGGATGGATGGATATAGATAGGTAGATACTAACAGAAAACATTATTCTCATTGTGTGTATAAGCACATGTATGGTATATATGTACGTATGCATGTGTATGTACATTTATTTTATTTATTTTTTAGATTTCTATCCCGCCCTTTTTGACAAAGTCTACTCCGGGCAGGTTTCATCAAACATTATAAGCTAAAACAGATAAAAAACAATGTGTACATGTGTGTATACATGTACAGTATATATAAACATGCATATATAAACCAAAAATGTATTATTTGGGTTGTTGTGGGTTTTTTGGGCTCTTTGTGTATGTATATAAATGCACATGTATTCTTTATTTGCATATATGTGTGTGTGTGTGTGTGTGTGTATGTATATGTGTGTATTTATGTATGTACTGTATATGTATATATGTATGTACTGTATGTGTATGTGTATATATAAGTATGTGTATATATATGCATATACTGTACAGTATATGCATATGTATATATGCATATGTATATATGCATGTATGTATATATAAGCATATGTATATATATGTGTGTGTATAAATATATATGCATATGTATATATGCATGTATGTATATATGCATATGTATATATGTGTGTGTATAAATATATATGCATATGTATATATGTATGTATATACAGTATATGTATGTGTATGTGTATGTGTATATGTATGTGTATATATACACACACAGACACACACACACAAATATATATACATTTATGTGCATGCAAAAAAACCCCTGTGCTGCTTCTAGTGCTTCAGCCTATATCTATAAAGGTATTTTTCCCGTCCTTATTCTCCCCCCCTCACAGATTTTCCTCTGTTTCCCGTATATAAACCGAAAGAGGAAGAAAACCGCTCTGCCGCTGAGAGTGGGAAAAGCGACCAGGTTCAAGCTTCGACCTCCTGGAGAGCCTGGGTAAAGGGGCGTGGCCAAGGCGGCGGCGGCGGCGGCCCCGCCTCCTCCTCCTCCTCTCCCTCCCTCCCGCGCGTGGGCGGTCCCTTAGAGAGAGAGAGGGGCGTGGCCTACCCCAGCGCCTGGGCGGGGCCGGGAGGCGAAAGTCCCGGGGAAAGGGGCGGGGCCTCCCGCGGTCCCCGGCTCGCCTCTCTCTCTCTCTCTTTTTTGCTCGGCTTTCTCTCCTCCTTCGCAGGGGTGACACGTCTGCAGGGGTGAGTGAGTGGCGTTGGCAGGCTGTCAATCCCTCACCAAAGCGGCCATCAAACAACATAAAACACACACAGTCCCCGGGATTGCTGGGCTCATAAATTGCAGCTGGCTGATTTTTTTCCCCCCTTTCTTTTTTTTTTCCTCTTTTTTTTTCCTTCTCCTCCTCTTTGGGTGCGACGTTGCTTTTCCCGCGAAGAGGGTGCAATTAATTTAATTTTTTTTTTGTGGAGGGGGAGAGAGAAGAGATCCGACTTTTCCCCCTTTTTGGAAAAGAACAACAAAAACCGCTTTTTTTGTTCCCCCCCTTCCTAAACCTCCCTTTTGCACAAGTTCAAGGAAAAGAACCACAAAAATCCGCTTTTTTTTTTTTTCCTAAACCTCCCTTTTGCACAAGTTCAAACTTTTTTTTCCCTTTCCTTTCCCGGGGCTGCTATTTTATCTACCCGTTGCACAGACAACGAGAGACGCTGGGATCGTTTGTTATGCCTTTTTTTGGCTGCTGCTTTTTCCGAGAGGGGGAGGAAGAAGAAGAGAAAAAAAAACCCAACCCCAGACAATCCGACTATTTTCTTGGCTTTTTCCTCCCTTTTTTTTTAAACGATGCAATCAAAAGCCGGAGATGTTTGCTAGGCTGGTTGTGATTTTTTAAAAAAAATTATTTTCACTATTCTTTTTTTCCCCTTGCTGGGTGCTGTTCTCCTAACTTTATTCCGGATCCGAAAAGCAGTTTTATTGCTTTTTTTTGGGGTCTTCTTTGCTTCTTTTCATCGTTTCTCCTCCCGAGGACAGCGCTTTCCACAAGGAAGAAGGGAGAGAGAATAAAAAGACCACAAAGACAAGTCAAAAGGAACCAAACAACATTTAAAAAAATATTATTATATATATTTTTGGCATGCCTCCCTGCCTCGCGGTCCCCCAAAGGAAATAATAAGAAAAAGCTTTTTGTGCTGGTGTGGTTTTGAATTTTTCTCTTTTTTTTTTCTTTGGAGAGAGGAGTTAAAGGAACAACACCAACAACACCAACAACAAAAAAGCAAAGCAAAACTTCACTCATCTTGCCGACCCCCGTCTGGTCCAGGATGCTCTGGAGAAGAAGAGGACTATAGCTCAAGAAAAAAAAAGAGTTTGCTTTTTAATTGCTCTTGGGGCGAAAAAAAGGAAAAAAAAAGAAGTAGAAGAGGGCAGCAGAAGAGTGTGGAATAAACAACGGAGATCCGATCCTCTCTTGAAACCCTGCTTCTCCTTGTTACTGTTGTCATTATTAGTACCTCTTTCTCCGGGTACTGAAATTGACTATGGGTACTGAAATTGACTAGAAGGATCAGCCTTTCTTGCAACACCCCCCCTCCTTCCAGGACAAAATGATCTTCTGATTTGGAAGTGCTTCTGTTTGTTTGGTTTTTTTGCTGCTGGTTTTATATATATTTATATACATTTATTTCCCCCTTCCTTTCCCCCCCTCCTCTGTTTTTTTCTTCTTTTCCTCCTGGGGGGTGTCCTTTCCTCCTGCTGCCTTTGCATTGATTTTTAGGGGGGGAGGGAAAAAGGCTGCGGTTTGCTCCGGTGGTTTTTTTTTGGGGCATTAGTGGGTTGTGTGTGTGTGTGTTTTTTTTTCTTCCTTCCCCCCTGGGAAGGGGGGGGAGAGGAGGAAGGCATGGATGATCAATCCAGGATGTTACAGACTCTCGCCGGCGTGAACCTGGCTGGCCACCCGGTCCAGGGGGCTATGCCGTTGCCACCTCCTCCCCACGGGCACGAAGGCGCCGACGGTGACGGCCGGAAGCAAGACATTGGGGACATTCTGCATCAGATCATGACTATCACGGACCAGAGTCTGGATGAGGCACAAGCAAAGTTGGTCTCATTCAAAAAAAACAAAACCCTGCCATGAACCAACAGGGCCCCCCCACCTCCCCCTCCCTGCCCTGTGCAAAAAAAAATAATAATCCAAAGAAAGGGAAAGAAAACTTCTATGCATGTCTGATGCCTTGCTGTGTGTACATGCACGTGTACATATGTTTGTGTGCATGTGTATAGACATTTGTGTATGTGTGTGTATATATAGGTAGATACACCTATTATTTAGATGCAACAAACATAGATAATGTTGATGCAACAGATATATGTGTATGTGGATAGATACTTAGATTCTTGACTCCATGCTTTTGCACAGCTGTCTCCCACTGTGGGCATTGAAAGATGGCATGGAATTCCCACATTTCCCTTGTAATTCCCAATTTATTTATTTATTTTACTCCCATCAAAGGGGGGGGGGAGAAAAGCAGCCCAGCCGTGGAGGAGTTTGAAAGAGAAAGCTCCAGCAGCGCTCAAATATCCCTTTCTACCCTCTCGCACTTAGTTGTTGATTTTATAGCTCTAATAAATGGCCTGGCCTCTTGCAAGCTTTGGTTTCCCTTACTCCGGGCTGTTTTCTTTTAAGGGGACAAAGGGGAGGGGGAGAGCAAAATCTCCCAACCCAGCCCACTGTCTGCCTGTGGGTTCCCCCCCCCCCCGCGTGATTGATTTCT